GTGCCTGTAACCCTTCCGTAGGATCGATCGGGGATCACCAGTGGACCTCTGACACAAGGGCCTAGCGTGTGCAAAATAAAACGCACAGGGGCATAGCATGTGCAAAATAGCAAGAACAAGGGCCTAGCGTATGCAAAAAAAAAAAAAACAAGGGCCTAGCGTGTGCAAAATAAAAAGAACAAGGGTCTAGCATGTGCAAAATTGCAAGAACAAGGGCCTACCGTGTGGAAAATAAAAAGAACAAGGGCATAGCATGTGCAAAATAGCAAGAACAAGGGCCTAGCGTGTGCAAAAGAAAAAGAACAAGGGCCTAGCGTGTGCAAAATAAAAAGAACAAGGGCCTAGCGTGTGCAAAATTGCAAGAACAAGGGCCTAGCGAGTGCAAAATAGCAAGAGCAAGGGCCTAGCGTGTGCAAAAAAACAAGAACAAGGGCCTAGCGTTCACGAAATAGCAAGAACAAGGGCCTAGCGTGTGCAAAACAAAAAGAACAAGGGTCTAGCATGTGCAAAATTGCAAGAACAAGGGCCTAGCGTGTGCAAAATAAAAAGAACAAGGGCATATCATGTGCAAAATAGCAAGAACAAGGGCCTAGCGTGTGGAAAATAAAAAGAGCAAGGGCCTAGCGTATGCAAAATAAAGAGAACAAGGGCCTAGCGTGTGCAAAATTGCAAGAACAAGGGCCTAGCGTGTGCAAAATTGCAAGAACAAGGGCCTAGCGAGTGCAAAATAGCAAGAGCAAGGGCCTAGCGTGTGCAAAAAATCAAGAACAAGGGCCTAGTATTCGCGAAATAGCAAGAACAAGGGCCTAGCGTGTGCAAAAAAAAACAAACAAGGGTCTAGCATGTGCAAAACTGCAAGAACAAGGGCCTAGCGTGTGCAAAATAAAAAGAACAAGGGCCTAGCGTGTGCAAAATAAAAAGAACAAGGGCCTAGCGTGTGCAAAATTGCAAGAACAAGGGCCTAGCATGTGCAAAATAGCAAGAGCAAGGGCCTAGCGTGTGCAAAAAAAACAAGAACAAGGGCCTAGCGTTCACGAAATAGCAAGAACAAGGGCCTAGCGTGTGCAAAACAAAAAGAACAAGGGTCTTGCATGTGCAAAATTGCAAGAACAAGGGCCTAGCGTGTGCAAAATAAAAAGAACAAGGGCATAGCATGTGCAAAATAGCAAGAACAAGGGCCTAGCGTGTGGAAAATAAAAAGAGCAAGGGCCTAGCGTGTGCAAAAAAAAGAGAACAAGGGCCTAGCGTGTGCAAAATTGCAAGAACAAGGGCCTAGCGTGTGCAAAATTGCAAGAACAAGGACCTAGCGAGTGCAAAATAGCAAGAGCAAGGGCCTAGCGTGTGCACAAAATCAAGAACAAGGGCCTAGCATTCGCGAAATAGCAAGAACAAGGGCCTAGCATGTGCAAAAAAAAAAAACAAGGGTCTAGCATGTGCAAAACTGCAAGAACAAGGGCCTAGCGTGTGCAAAATAAAAAGAACAAGGGCCTAGCGTGTGCAAAATAAAAAGAACAAGGCCCTAGCGTGTGCAAAATTGCAAGAACAAGGGCCTAGGGTGTGCAAAATTGCAAGAACAAGGGCCTAGCGAGTGCAAAATAGCAAGAGCAAGGGCCTAGCGTGTGCATAAAATCAAGAACAAGGGCCTAGCGTGTGCAAAAAAAAAAGAACAAGGGTCTAGTATGTGCAAAATTGCAAGGAACAAGGGCCTAGCGTGTGCAAAATAAAAAGCACAGGGGCATAGCGTGTGCAAAATTGCAAGAACAAGGGCCTAGCGTGTGCAAAATTGCAAGAACAAGGGCGTAGTGAGTGCAAAATAGCAAGAGCAAGGGCCTAGCGTGTGCACAAAATCAAGATCAAGGGCCTAGCGTTCGCAAATAGCAAGAACAAGGGCCTAGCGTGTGCAAAATAAAAAGAACAAGGGTCTAGTATGTGCAAAACTGCGAGAACAAGGGCCTAGCGTGTGCAAAATAAAAAGAACAGGGAAATAGCATGTACAAAATAGCAAGAACAAGGGCCTAGCAGGTGCAAAATAAAAAGAACAAGGGCCTAGCGTGTGCAAAATAAAAAGAACAAGGGCCTAGCGTGTGCAAAATTGCAAGAACAAGGGCCTAGCGTGTGCAAAATTGCAAGAACAAGGGCCTAGCGAGTGCAAAATAGCAAGAGCAAGGGCCTAGCGTGTGCAAAAAAACAAGAACAAGGGCCTAGCGTTCACGAAATAGCAAGAACAAGGGCCTAGCGTGTGCAAAACAAAAAGAACAAGGGTCTAGCATGTGCAAAATTGCAAGAACAAGGGCCTAGCGTGTGCAAAATAAAAAGAACAAGGGCATAGCATGTGCAAAATAGCAAGAACAAGGGCCTAGCGTGTGGAAAATAAAAAGAGCAAGGGCCTAGCGTGTGCAAAATAAAGAGAACAAGGGCCTAGCGTGTGCAAAATTGCAAGAACAAGGGCCTAGCGTGTGCAAAATTGCAAGAACAAGGGCCTAGCGAGTGCAAAATAGCAAGAGCAAGGGCCTAGCGTGTGCAAAAAATCAAGAACAAGGGCCTAGCATTCGCGAAATAGCAAGAACAAGGGCCTAGCGTGTGCAAAAAAAAAAAACAAGGGTCTAGCATGTGCAAAACTGCAAGAACAAGGGCCTAGCGTGTGCAAAATAAAAAGAACAAGGGCCTAGCGTGTGCAAAATAAAAAGAACAAGGGCCTAGCGTGTGCAAAATTGCAAGAACAAGGGCCTAGGGTGTGCAAAATTGCAAGAACAAGGGCCTAGCGAGTGCAAAATAGCAAGAGCAAGGGCCTAGCGTGTGCAGAAAATCAACAACAAGGGCCTAGCGTGTGCAAAAAAAAAAGAACAAGGGTCTAGTATGTGCGAAATTGCAAGGAACAAGGGCCTAGCGTGTGCAAAATAAAAAGCACAGGGGCATAGCGTGTGCAAAATTGCAAGAACAAGGGCGTAGTAAGTGCAAAATAGCAAGAGCAAGGGCCTAGCGTGTGCACAAAATCAAGATCAAGGGCCTAGCGTTCGCAAATAGCAATAACAAGGGCCTAGCGTATGCAAAATAAAAAGAACAAGGGTCTAGTATGTGCAAAACTGCGAGAACAAGGGCCTAGCGTGTGCAAAATAAAAAGAACAGGGAAATAGCATCTACAAAATAGCAAGAACAAGGGCCTAGCGTGTGCAAAATAAAAAGAACAAGGGCCTAGCATGTACAAAATAAAAAGAACAAGGGCCTAGCGTGTGCAAAATTGCAAGAAAAAGGGCCTAGCGTGTGCAAAATTGCAAGAACAAGGGCGTAGCGAGTGCAAAATAGCAAGAGCAAGGGCCTAGCGTGTGCACAAAATCAAGAAGAAGGGCCTAGCGTTCGCGAAATAGCAAGAAGAAGGGCCTAGCGTGTGCAAAAAAAAAAAAACAAGGGTCTAGTATGTGCAAAATTGCAAGAACAAGGGCCTAGTGTGTGCAAAATAAAAAGAACAAGGGCCTAGCGTGTGCAAAATAAAAAGAACAAGGGCCTAGCGTGTGCAAAATTGCAAGAACAAGGGCCTAGGGTGTGCAAAATTGCAAGAACAAGGGCGTAGCGAGTGCAAAATAGCAAGAGCAAGGGCCTAGCGTGTGCACAAAATCAAGAACAAGGGCCTAGCGTGTACAAAATAAAAAGAACAAGGGCCTAGCGTGTGCAAAATTGCAAGAAAAAGGGCCTAGCGTGTGCAAAATTGCAAGAACAAGGGCGTAGCGAGTGCAAAATAGCAAGAGCAAGGGCCTAGCGTGTGCACAAAATCAAGAAGAAGGGACTAGCGTTCGCGAAATAGCAAGAAGAAGGGCCTAGCGTGTGCAAAATTGCAAGAACAAGGGCGTAGCGAGTGCAAAATAGCAAGAGCAAGGGCCTAGCGTGTGCACAAAATCAAGAAGAAGGGACTAGCGTTCGCGAAATAGCAAGAAGAAGGGCCTAGCGTGTGCAAAAAAAAAAAAACAAGGGTCTAGTATGTGCAAAATTGCAAGAACAAGGGCCTAGTGTGTGCAAAATAAAAAGAACAAGGGCCTAGCGTGTGCAAAATAAAAAGAACAAGGGCCTAGCGTGTGCAAAATTGCAAGAACAAGGGCCTAGGGTGTGCAAAATTGCAAGAACAAGGGCCTAGCGAGTGCAAAATAGCAAGAGCAAGGGCCTAGCGTGTGCACAAAATCAAGAACAAGGGCCTAGCGTGTGCAAAAAAAAAAGAACAAAGTTCTAGTATGTGCAAAATTGCAAAAACAAGGGCCTAGCGTGTGCAAAATAAAACGCACAGGGGCATAGCATGTGCAAAATAGCAAGAACAAGAGCTTGCGTATCCAAAATAAAAAGAACAAGAGCCTAGCGTGTGCAAAATAAAAAGAACAAGGGTCTAACATGTGCAAAATTGCAAGAACAAGGGCCTAGCGTGTGGAAAATAAAAAGAACAAGGGCATAGCATGTGCAAAATAGCAAGAACAAGGGCCTAGCGTGTGCAAAATAAAAAGAACAAGGGCCTAGCGTGTGCAAAATAAAAAGAACAAGGGCCTAGCGTGTGCAAAATTGCAAGAACAAGGGCCTAGCGAGTGCAAAATAGCAAGAGCAAGGGCCTAGCGTGTGCAAAAAAACAAGAACAAGGGCCTAGCGTTCACGAAATAGCAAGAACAAGGGCCTAGCGTGTGCAAAATAAAAAGAACAAGGGTCTAGCATGTGCAAAATTGCAAGAACAAGGGCCTAGCGTGTGCAAAATAAAAAGAACAAGGGCATAGCATGTGCAAAATAGCAAGAACAAGGGCCTAGCGTGTGGAAAATAAAAAGAACAAGGGCCTAGCGTGTGCAAAATAAAAAGAACAAGGAACTAGCGTGTGCAAAATTGCAAGAACAAGGGCCTAGTGTCAGAACTATATAGCTTATACTATTGTGTAGGCTGTAGTGGGGTATCCCATAGGGGGTACAACCCAATTAGGGTTTCCTATTTGTACTCACTTCTTTCATAGTCATTTCATTCTCGTTCTCTCTTTCACATGGAATCAGAGCAGGTCCCCTACTAGGGACTGTTTCTTGGGCCCACCGAAGCGCGCCCCGAGGCGCGCGTCCTTTTTTTTTTAGCGACCCGTCGTGTCGCCCTCCCTAGCGGCCTGTCGAGCCGCCCTACCTTGCGGCCCCGCCGCCCTATCGCGCGGCCTCGCCGCCCTACGTCGCGGCCTGCCCGCCGCCCTACTTCGACGGCCCCGCCGCCCTACGTCGTGGCCCGCCGCCCTACTTCGACGGCCCGCCCGCCGCCCTACGTCGCGGCCCCACTGCCCTACGTCCCGGCCCGCCCGCCGCCCTACTTCGACGGCCCGCCCGCCGCCCTACGTCGCGGCCCCGCCGCCCTACGTCCCGGCCCGCCCGCCGCCCTACTTCGAAGGCCCGCCCGCCGCCCTACGTTGCGGCCCCGCCGCCCTCAGCTACGCGGCCCCGCCGCCTTCTGCTACGCGGCCCTGCCGCCCTCTGCTACGCGGCCCCGCCGCCCCTCGATCGCGGCCCCGCCGCCCTCTGCTACGCGGCTCCGCCGCCCTCTGCTACGCGGCCCCGCCGCCCTCTGCTACGCGGCCCCGCCGCCCTCTCCTACGCGGCACCGCCGCCCTCTGCTCCGCGGCCCCGCCGAGCCGCCCAGCATCAGCCGAGCCGCCCAGCAGCAGCCGAGCCGCCGCCGAGCCGCCGCCGCTTGAGCCGCCGCCCGGGCCACCGCCGAGCCGCCGCCGCCTGCGCCGCGCGAGCCGCCGCCGAGCCGCCCAGCAGCAGCCGAGCCGCCCGAGCCGCCGCTGAGCTGCGACCGAGCCGCCGCCCGAGCCGCCCGAACCGCCCGAGCCGCCCGAGCCGCCCGAGCCGCCCGACCCGCCGTGCTGCTGTTCCTGAGCTGTGTTCTTCTGCTGCTGACCTACCCGACTCTCCCAGCCCGGTGAGACTTCCAGCTGCTGCCATGGCCACCCCCAATGTTCTTACTTTTGACGCTGAGGGGAGGGCCATTGACTTTGCCGTCTGGATTGAAGACCTGCAGCTGTACTTACTGTGTGATGCGATAGATGAGGTCTCTTTTTTTGACTTTGTCTCTGGCGCTGTTCCTGCCCCACCTGCTGATGCTGACTCTGCCGTTCGCTCCAAGTGGGCAACCCGCGATGCTGCTGCACGTCTTGCTGTGCGTCGCCACCTCCCTTCCTCTGAGCGTGCCCACTTTAGTCAGTGCAAGACCGCTCAGGCCTTGTACGACGCTGTAGTTGCACGCTACTCCTCCCCTTCCTCCGCTACCCTTAGCCGCCTCATGCTACCGTTTCTCTTCCCTGACCTCGCTTCCTTTCCCACTGTCACTGACCTCGTTACCCACCTCCGTGCTAGTGACACCCGCTACCGCGCTGCCCTTCCTGCTGAGTTCCGCGCTGCGAACCCTCCTCCCATGTACATCACCCTCTACTTTCTCGTCACCCGTCTCCCTGAGTCCCTTCGTGTCGTTAGGGACCAGTTTCTCTCTGTCTGTCCCACCACTCTCACTGTCGACCTCCTTGAGGAGTCCCTGCTAGCGGCTGAGAAGAGTATTGTCGCTGTAGGGGCCTCTCGGGGTGACCCTCGCACCCCCATCTTTGAGGGGTGTGGTCCTTCCCCCCTGCTGCCCTCTGTCGCCTCTGCCGCTGCGGCCGACCTCACTGGTTTTGAGTCGGTCGGCGCGGCGTCTGCCCCCAGCGGCAGACGCCGCTCTGGCAAGAGCAAGGGGGGCAAGGGAGCGGGTGGAGCTCGAGGGGGCGGTGGAGGAGGCGGTGGGGGTGGCGGGGGGAGTGGGGGTGGCGGTGGGGGTGGTGGCGGGAGTGGAGGTACTGGTGGCGGCGGTGGAGGCGGAGGTGGCGGCGGAGGTGGTAGCGGAGGAGGCGGTGGGAGCGGTGGGAGCGACGGTCCTGGTGGGGGAGGTGGCGGTGGAGACGGGGGTGGCGGTGGAGGCGGGGGTGGCGGTGGAGGCGGGGGTCGGAGTGGCTCGTCCCAGCGGAGCAGCTCTGGGGGTGGTCAGCGCCAGCAGCAGCAGCAGCCACAGCAGCAGCCGCAGCAGCAGCCACAGCAGCAGCAGCGCTCTCGCACCGTCCCCGGCCCTCAGCAGCTCCGTGAGTGGTACTTGCAGCGTCAGCGTGGTGGTGCGCTTGGTCCCTGCCCCTACGTTCTTCGCACAGGTGACCGTGCAGGGGAGAGGTGTGGAGGCGCCCACACAGCCCGCCGCTGCTTTGGCCGCCTGACCGACGCCTGGCGTCAGCAGTTTCCGGAGGCCGCTGAGATCCCCCGCTGGGGAGAGCTGTCTAGGGCTGGTGTAGCTATTTATGATCTTGATTTCGATGCTATTCTCTCTGCTATGTATGCTGTGACTGGTAGTGATGAGGATGACTGTTACCGGTGTTTCCCGCCCGACCCGGGCATTGGTACTGCCGCGTCAGGTACTAGTGAGGCTGCTGCTCTAGGTGCCAGTGCGTCTGTGCTCTCAGGTGCTGGTGAGTCTGCCCTCTCAGGTACTGTGTCGGCTTCGGCCTCTCACACCTTCACCCTTGACTCTGGAGCGTCTCGCTCCTTCTTTAGGGACCGCACCACTCTCACGCCGCTGAGTCGGCCGGTTGCGGTGTCCCTGGCTGACCCCTCTGGGGGGCCTGTCCTGTCTCGCTTCTCCACTGTCCTCCCGTGTCCGGCGGCCCCCTCTGGCACCCTGACTGGTCTCTACCTCCCCTCGTTCTCGACGAACTTGGTGAGTGGTGCTGACCTCCAGGATGCGGGTGTCCACCAGTTCACCCCTGCTCGTCAGCGGGTGACCCACTGCACGGAGGCGGATACAGGTCGCCACCTGGCTACGTTTACACGTCGGCCAGGGTCGAGCCTGTACACACTGACCACTGCTTCTCCTCCAGGTGCTGAGTCTGGTAGGGTCCCTTCGTCTGGTCAGGTGTTTGCTGCAGCGTCCAGGTCTGGTCCTGAGTCTGCCCCCTGCTCGTGTCGTCGTCTGTCTCACGAGACCCTCCTCTGGCACCACCGCCTTGGCCACCCCTCTCTGCTTCGGCTCAGAGGCGAGTCCTTGTGTCTGGTCTTCCCCGGTCTCTCCCTCCCCTTCCTCCGGGCCCTGGCCCTACCTGTGTCCCCTGTGTCGAGGGGCGCCAGCGTGCTGCCCCTCACTCCTCCCAGTTTCCTCCGACAGAGGCCCCGTTGCAGACGCTTCACATGGACGTGTGGGGCCCAGCCCGCGTCCATGGACAGGGTCAGGAGCGCTACTTCCTGCTGGTGGTTGACGACTACTCGCGTTACACCACAGTCTTCCCCTTGCGCAGCAAGGGTGAGGTCACTGCGGTGTTGATCGACTGGATCCGCGCAGCTCGTCTCCAGCTTCAGAGGAGCTTTGGCTCTGACTTCCCTGTTTTGCGTCTGCACTCGGACAGAGGCGGCGAGTTCTCCTCTGGCCTCCTGAGTGCCTACTGTCGTGCACGAGGCATCCGTCAGACCTTCACGCTTCCGGACTCACCACAGCAGAATGGGATTGCTGAGCGCCGCATTGGCATGGTCATGGACGTCGCTCGTACGTCCATGATGCATGCGGCTGCTCCCCATTTTCTGTGGCCGTTTGCGGTCAGGTACGCTGCGCACCAGATCAACCTCCACCCCAGGGTCTCTCGACCGGAGACCTCCCCAGCCCTGCTGTGGACGGGGAAGGTTGGCGATGCGTCGGCGTTCCGGGTCTGGGGATCTCGGGCGTTTGTTCGCGACGTGTCTGCGGACAAGCTGTCCCCTCGTGCTTCTCCCTGCGTCTTCCTGGGGTTCCCCCCCGACGCCCCTGGGTGGCAGTTTTACCACCCCACCTCTCGACGTGTTCTGTCCTCCCAGGACGTCACGTTCGACGAGTCGGTACCCTACTACCGCCTCTTCCCCTACCGCACTCCGTCCCTCCCCCCACCCCCGCTCTTCCTGGTACCCGGTCCCCCCTCGGTAGTCCCCCTCCCCCCTCAGGGTCCTGCCCCTTCAGGTGTGTCCCAGGTAGACGCGGTCGAGCCTGTCGAGGTCACTGGTGACTCTGGTGCTGCTGCGGGAGCTGAGCCTGGGGGTGCGGAGTCTGGGGGTGCTGAGCCTGGGGGTGCTGAGCCTGGGGGTGCTGAGCCTGGGGGTGCTGAGCCTGGGGGTGCTGAGCCTGGGGGTGCTGTGCCTAGGGGTGCTGAGCCTGGGGGTGCTGCGTCTAGGGGTGCTGAGCCTGGAGGTGCCGAGCCTGGGGGTGCTGTACCTGGGGGTGCTGAGCCTGGGGGTGCTGTGCCTGGGGGTGCCTCGTCTCGCCGGGAGCCACTCTCCCCGCAGGAGCTGCGTGAGTGGTTTGCCAGGCGCTGGAGGTGTGCTGCTGGTGTTGGTGGTTCTTCGGCTGCAGAGGGTACTGCTGCCTCGCGTCCCGCCGGTGCTCGTACTGTGGGTGCTGGAGCTGCTGGGTCTGAGAGTTCTCCTGGAGCTGGTGCTACTGAGGGTGTTGGCGCTGAGACTGCCGTTGGCGGTCCGACTGACAGTGCTCCTGGTGCTGCTGCTGGAGGTTTTGGAGCTTCTGGTGGTGCTGCTGGAGGTGCTGCTGGAGTGGGTGCTCCTGCCGGGGCTGCTGGTGCTGTTCCTGCTGTTTCTAGCGTCGCCGCGCGGCCCCGACCGTACTTCGTTCCGCTCCTGCAGCAGGTTCTTGGTCTTACACCTCCTCCTCCTCCCTTAGAGGGTCCGCAGCCTGTCCGGTCACAGCCACAGCTACAGCCTGCCTCCCCTTTGCCTGCTCCGTCTCCCTACACTGGTCCGACTGGAGGTCTTACTGAGCGTCGTGAGCCTGCGTCTCGTCCTGTGTTGCCTGTTCGTACTGAGCGCGCTAGTGGTCGCGGGTCGCGTCAGCGTCCTCCTCCTGTCCCTGGCACGCACCGGATGTCACTGCGTCCGTCCACTGCTCCTCTGCGTGCCCCTTTGCCTTCTCCTCCTGCTTCCTCTCTTCCTGCTCTTGCCGACCCTGAGTCGGACTCCCTTCGTGCTGCCAGTCCTACTGTCACGCGTCTCCTTGCTACAGCTGTCACTGACCCTTCCTTCGAGTCGTCTGCTGCGTCTGCCCTTGTCACTGAGCTTGTCGACTTTGCTGCGCGCTGTCGTCTAGACTACGCTGCCCGTCTTGTCACTGAGTCTGAGTCCGCCTGTCCTCCGTCCGTCGGGGGTGAGTGTGCCCTTGGCACGGACGTCCTTGAGGACAGGCAGGAGGAGTTCCAGTGTCTGGCCGCCGCTTCACCTCGTCTCGCGTCTGTACTGCTAGCCCCTGAGGGAGACCCGGATGCACCAGACATCCCGACTCCGCGCTCTTACGCGGAGGCGATAGAGGGTCCCTACTCCTCTCAGTGGCAGGCAGCTATGGATGCAGAGATGGCTTCCTGGAAGTCCACAGGCACCTACGTTGACGCTGTTCCCCCCCCTGGGGCGAACATCGTCAGTGGCATGTGGATTTTCAGGGTGAAGCGGCCGCCGGGTTCTCCGCCTGTCTTCAAGGCGCGTTACGTGGCTCGTGGCTTCAGTCAGCGGCAGGGGGTTGACTACTTTCAGACCTTCTCCCCCACCCCAAAGATGACCACTCTTCGGGTCCTGCTGCACGTTGCTGCTCACCGTGACTACGAGCTGCACTCTCTCGACTTCAGCACAGCTTTCTTGCAGGGCAGCCTGCACGAGGAGATCTGGCTGCGTCGCCCACCTGGCTTCACTGGGTCTTTCCCTCCTGGTACCCAGTGGAGTCTCCGGCGTCCAGTCTACGGTCTCCGCCAGGCGCCACGTTAGTGGCACGACACACTGAGGACTACGCTCGCGGCACTTGGGTTTGCTTCTTCTACTGCCGACCCGTCGCTGTTTCTGCGCACCGACACCTCTCTGCCGCCGTTCTACATCCTCGTGTACGTCGACGACTTGGTCTTTGCCACAGCTGACACTGCTGGACTCGCCTACGTGAAGTCCGAGCTGCAGAAGAGACACACGTGCACTGACCTGGGTGAACTGCGCAGCTATCTTGGCTTGCAGATCACCCGGGACAGAGCACGCCGCACCATTACCCTGACTCAGTCACACATGGTGCAGCAGGTCCTTCAGCGCTTCGGCTTCACGTACTCCTCGCCTCAGGCCACTCCTCTGCCTACTCGCCACTCGCTCTCAGCTCTGCCTTCGGATGAGTCCGTAGAGTCGAGTGGCCCGTATGCAGAGCTTGTTGGCTGCCTCATGTACCTGATGACGTGCACACGACCTGACCTTGCATACCCTCTTAGCATTCTCGCACGCTATGTTGCTCCTGGGAGACACCGACCAGAGCACATGGCTGCAGCGAAGAGGGTGTTGCGCTACTTGTGCAGTACGTCGGGCATGGGGCTAGTGCTTGGAGGGCGCAGTCCAGTGGTCCTCACTGGGCACGCGGACGCTTCTTGGGCTGACGACCAGGCTACGCAGCGGTCGTCACAGGGTTACACCTTCAGCCTTGGTTCCGGCTCTGTTTCGTGGCGGGCTACCCGCTCGTCTTCTGTTCTCGGCTCCAGTTGTGAGGCTGAGATCTACGCCGGGGCTATGGCTGCACAGGAGTTACGCTGGCTCACCTACCTGTTGACCGACCTTGGAGAGCAGCCTCGTTCTCCTCCAGTCCTGTACGTAGACAACAAGGCCATGCTGGCCTTGTGTCGAGAGCAGAGACTGGAGCACAGAACGAAGCACATTGCTCTCCGCTACTTTCTTGCTCGTGAGCTACAGCAGCGTGGACAGTTGCGACTTGCGTACGTGGCCTCTGAGGCCAACACTGCTGATGTCTTCACCAAGGCACTTGCGCCTTGTGATCATCAGCGTTGTTGCACGCAGTTGGGTCTTGTGCCTGTCTTGCCTCACTTGCTCTCCTCTTGACCTTGCTTGTACCTTCGCCTATATATACTCTTGCTCTTGCTTACTTGACTCTTGTATATCTCTATATATGATCTTGCATGTGAACTGGCCATGTGGCCTTGAACTTGTGCTCGGAATGTGTGGTGACTTTGTGATCCACCCTGAGCTTCGCTTTGCTTTGCTTGACTGGTCCTGTGACCCCTTGTTCTCCCCCACTTTGCCTATGGGGGTGTGTCAGAACTATATAGCTTATACTATTGTGTAGGCTGTAGTGGGGTATCCCATAGGGGGTACAACCCAAT